CCACCCTTCTTCTTCTTCTTCTTCTTTAGATTAGACAGCTCTCTTTACTTTGAGCTCTACGTATTGCTCTCTCTTCACTCTCTCTCCCGACCGCTCAGGTCCCTCCCCCCTCCCCGCTTCTCTCTCTTTGGAGCTCTCCGACCACGACGACCACAACAAGTTTCCTGGCAGCCATGGCGTCAATCAACCTGTCCCTAAACGGGGCCGCGATCAAGAACAGCTACAAAAAGGTGCTGGAAGGAGCCCTGCCTGCCGGTTCTCCCACCTCGTGCCTGTGGGCCCTCTTCTCTGTTCAGGCGCCCCTTGTCAATGCCTTCCAGAACTCTGGCTCTAGCGAAAGCGTCCTTAAAGTGCAAGACTCAGGAGGTAAGCATATGATTTTATGGATCTCTGACTCATGCCTCCCGGCCTATCCTCTACGTAGCCGCTAACTGGTGCTCGCGTACGTATAGAGGGTGAACTGAGCGACCTTTTTGAGGAATTCAACGATGGACGCATCCAGTACGCATACATCAAGCTCAACGACCCCAACAAGAACATTCCCAAGCGAGTCTTGATTGCCTGGTGTGGCAGCGGTGTTCCCGAACGTACCAAGGGCTACTTCAACAACTACACTAATGCCATCACCGGCGTCCTGCAGGGCTTCCACACCCAGATCACCGCCCGCTCCGACGACGACCTCGATGCCCAGGCCATCCTGTCCAAGGTGGTTGCCGCTTCGGGCTCTGACTATTCCGGCCCTGGTGTCAAGGCTGCCACTTCCAGCCGCGCTCCGCCGCCCCGGACCGTTGCAGCCAAGCCTGTCTTCACGCCCACCACATCGACCGCGACCCGCAGCAACCTGGTGGCCTCTCGGTCTACCAGAAATGTCGACGACAACGACGGCTGGGGTGACGCTCCCCCCGTCACGCGAACCCAGCCCGAAAAGGTCGAGTCTGCCTACAAGCCCACCAAGGTCAACATGGCCGAGCTCACCAAGCAGAAGGCCGAGCCCTCGCGATTCGTCCCTACCGCTCGCCGGGACGACGGCGGCGCGGACGTGGTCAAGGGTGGCTACCAACCTATCGGCAAGGTCGACATTGCTGCTATCCGTGCCCAGGCCAAGAAGGACCAGGACGACCGGCCGACCCCTGTCAAGGGCGCCTATGAGCCCGTCGGCAAGGTTGACATTGCGGCCATCCGTGCCAAGGCCCAGAAGCCTACGTCTGCACCCCAGGCCGAGGAGGAGTCCCAGGCCCCCAAGGGCGTGTCCGACAGGGCTTCCGCCTTCTCACAGCCTGCCCAGTCTGAGCGTCTGACCAGCCTTCCGAAGCCCAAGGTGGCCAACAAGTTTGGAGGTGCTACGGCCTTTACCGGAACCAAGCCTCCCGTGCCCGTCGGCGGCGCCTCGGCTCCTGCCCCGGCGCCCGTCGGGTCTGCCAGCCGCACCTTTGCTGACCAGGGTGGCAAGACGCCGGCCCAGCTGTGGGCCGAGAAGAAGGCCAAGGAGCGCGGCGAACCTGTGCCCAGTGCTTCCGCCCCGTCATCGGCTCCCGTCGAGTCGCAGAAGACTGGCGGTGAGGAGTGGAAGAGCGGCTACGCTGGTAAATCGTGGGCGCCGGTGCAGACGTCGTCCCGCTTTAGCCGTCCTGAAGATGGCCAGGAGGCAGTCGACGTGCCTCAGCACGAGGAGCAGCAGCCCACCCACACTGGCTCTGGCAGTGTGTCCGCCCTGAAGGATCGCTTCAAGGGCGCCGCGCCGATGGGTGTCGGTGCTGCCGCTGGTGTCGTCGCCGGTGCCGGTGCCAGTGCCGCCATTGCCTCCCACGAGAAGGAAGAGGAGGAGGAGTCCGCCCCCCCTCCGGTGCCCGACGCGTCCAGACCCGCCGGCGGCTTCTCCCTCCCGGGACTTCCCAGCAGGCCTGCCGCCCCCGTCGAGGAGCCCCGGCAAGAGGAGGAGGAGTATGAGCCGGAGCCCGAGTCCCCCGTGCGCATTGCCATACCCGTCGCTCGCTCTCCGTCGCCCGAAGAGACGCGCGCCCCGCCGCCCCCTCCTCCCGCCGAGCCGGAACCCGCACCTGTGCCGGAAGCCGCGGCGCCCGTCGCAGACCAAAAGGAGGGCGGCTTCGTGGCCGTGGTGCAGTTCGACTACGAAAAGGGCGAGGAGAACGAGGTGGAGCTCGTCGAGGGCGAGTACGTGACGGACATCGACATGGTCGACGAGGGGTGGTGGGCCGGCACCAACGCCAGGGGCGAGCGTGGCCTCTTCCCCTGCAACTACGTCGAGCTCGTCGAGGACGGCGGAACGGTGCCCCATCATGAGGAGCCCGAGCCTGCTCCCCCCTCCCCGGCCAGGCAGGAGGCTGCTGCGCCTCCTCCGCCGGCTCCCGCAGCGGCACCTCCTGCTTCTGTTGGGCCCACCGCCACGGCCATTTACGATTATGAAGCTGGCGAGAACAATGGTTAGTTTTTTTCTTTCTTTTTCTCCTCCCCCCCCCCACTCCCTTTCTCTCTCTCTCTGTCCCCTTCATAATCTACCCTTGATGCTGATACTCATTCCTAAACCAGAACTCAGCTTCCCCGAGGATGCCATCATCACCAATCTCAAGTTTCCCGACGATGACTGGTGGGCTGGTGAATACAATGGAAATATTGGTCTGTTCCCTGCAAACTATGTACGGCTCAACGAGTGAGAAGAGGACGAGGAAAAATCATTCTTCTTCTTCTTCTTGCTTCCCAGTCATTGTGTGTTTTGTCCTTCTTCTTCTTCTTTACAACACTTTTACAACAAAAAAGCGACTTGGGATGTGTGTGTTTTTGATCACGGAGTGGTCTATGGTCAATGCTAAGGGAGGGGGGGGCAGATATATAAAATATTTCAAACATGACAAAAAAAGACAAATAAACAATGTACCAGCGTATACTCTCACGTTTCCATCTAGTACTGCCACGGGAGTCTATTACTACTTCTGAAAAGACAAGAGTGAAATGATAGTTGGGAAACAGAGCAAGAGTAAAGGAATATGATAAAGGCTTGTCTTTGAAATGCTATGCTGGATATATATATACAATGTGTCCCATAGACGGAGCGCAAATTCTTCTACTTTTATATGAACAGAGAGGGGGGAGATAGAGACAAGAGAAGACGGAAATCCAACCTGTTCTTTTTTGTTTTCGTGACCTGTACGCTTGCTGTTTCCCCATATCCCATCCTGTTACATCGCAGTACAGTATCCCAAAAGAAATGAGAGGTAGAAGAGAAAAAAAAAAGAAAGCATGAAAAAGGGGTGGGGGGGAGAGCTTTTCCCAGGGTGATGTATATATTCGCCAGCGTTATAGAAAAGAAAACATGTAAAAAAGGAAATCGGTTTCGACAGAATGTTGAGGGTGTGTTTTTGAAAACGAAAAAAAGAAGTTCCGTGAGAGAGGAAGAGGGCGCGTGCCATGACGGTAGCATACTACTCGTCAAGTAGGAGGACGCGCGGTTCGTAGTGGAAATATCTGACAACAAGGTAGAGGGGAACAGGGTCTAGCAGAGGCACTCGCAGCAGTCGATACTATAAATTAAGAATGGTTAGCCATCTTGGACTTTTGCAGCCATACACACACACACACACACACAGGTATATATTATATACGTGCGTATGTGTGTGTGCGCGACAGACAGAGGAGGGGGGCACGCAAGAAGATTTAGGCTTGGGAGAGCAAGGGGGGCATGCGGGAGGACAGAGAGCAAGACTTACCAGCATTCACAACCCTCCTCGACAGCACAGCAACAGCAGAAGGCGGCGATGCAGGCCATGAAGCAGTTGTTGGAACCGCCACCACCGCCGGACCCCTTGTTCTGCTGCTGCTGCTGCTCAGGCTGGGGCTGGTACTGCATGGGCTGCTGGTACTGCATGGGCTGCTGACCACCGTAGGCGCCGGGAGGAGGTTGCTGGTAAGGGCCGGGCTGGCCCTGGTAGTAGCCCTGCTGGGGGGGAGCGCCGTAGGCCTATCCGTCTCTCCCTCTCTCGTCAGTACAGGTCCAGGTCTATCCATTCGGGGTGCGACGGCGCAGGGGAGCTGATCGACCCCACTGCGACCGGAGAAAGAGCAAGAAGGGTTGCGTTGCCGTGTTGTCTGTGTAGACATATGGAGAGGGAGAGGGAGAGAGGCCGCGCGGAAGGGGGACGTACAGGCTGAGGGGACTGAGGGTAGCCACCACCCTGGTAGTACTCTTGGCTAGCCATTCTTGATTGTTGACAGGAGCGAGGCGACTCTGTCTGTTGTCGGAAGAGGTCTGTCGCGACGAGGAAAGAGAGGAGGTGACGATGAGGATGATGAGGGAAGTTTCCGATAAGACACGAGGTGGAAGAGGGAAGAAGAAGAAAAGAGAAAGCAGGAAAGGAAAGAGGAAGGAGCTGAAGCGCGACGGGCACACCAAGTAATACTCGTAGTAATGTGATATTTAGTGCGAGAGGTGTGTCTACGCGGATAGTTCTTGGCAAAAAGTCTCAATGGACAGGGGGGGGGGGAGGAGCGTTTGGACCACCCTTCCACTTCTTTGGCGGGGCCTCTTCTCTTTCCCACCTCTGCAGCTGACGTCTCCACTGCCACTTGCGGTTGGAGAGTGTGGGTGCAGTGCGTGTTGTTGTGGCAGTGCGGCAGTGCGTGTGCGTGTGCGTGTGTGCGTGTGTGTGTGGCATGTGTGGCAGGTGTGGCAGGTGTGGCAGGTGTGTGTGTGTATGTGCGCGTATTGGGTGTGAACGGCCACAAGTGTCGGTGGGAGGAGTCTGGTGGTTGTCTTGGGGGGGGGGAAGCCCCCGTCTGTTGAGGGTCAGACTGTTCAGGGAGATGGAGAGAGATAGAGAGACCCCTGCTGTGAGAGTGCTGCTGCTGGTGTTGAATACTTTTTTGAGGCTGTCTAGCGGTAGGCCTGTCTAGTGGTAGGCTTGCCTAGTGGTAGGCTGCTGTTCAGCGATGGGGGCTGTCTCACGTGGTATTGCGGTAATACGATGCTGTTAGGTAGGCTGTTGCAGCTCTACCACTGCAGTAGCATCATCATCGTCATTGCATACTCCGTTGCATGCACATCGTAGGCTGCAGCTTGTTACAGGATCCTTACAGGAGAGCGCTGCTGGGGTTGGTGCCGCTCCTTCCATGCGCTAATCGGCAGGTACGGCATCTCTCTCCCCACCTTGAACGGGATTCCGTTGCCGAGATGCGCAGCCAAGATCCAGGCAAGGTCGGGGTGACTTGTAAGGCGCATTCTACATGTACGAGTACGTACTCTCTGTATGCTGTAGGGCGGAATTGTACTCGTCGTACGCGTCTTACCTTGAACCCCCCATGTATCTGTCCGGGCGGAGGAGGGTACGGTATCGGGAATCTTAGGGCACTCGTATCTATGTGTAATCTGTAGACTCAAGTACAGAGTGTATTACCTATTAATAGACCGGCATACGGGATAATTACATGCTTGCGAAATACAGGTGGTAAGGCTTGAATACCTGAGATATGTGGTTATCATTGGCATATGGGTATGTATATATATATATATATACATGTGTGTGTGTGTGTGTGTGTGTGTGTGTGTGTGTACGGAGTACGGTGTGATGGTGATAAGCTGCCCAAGGGCCGTGACTGACGGCGACCGGCAACATGCTAGCAACCTACGATGCGAGTGAACCGAAATACGAATACGCGACCGGTCTTCCAAGGGATCCCCGAGAAACTGATCGCCAGCCGTCGGCATCCAGCCCATGCTGTCGCGGCAAATTACCTCGAGAGCATCGGATCCTGGGTCCCACGCAAATTGTCCATCAACCCCCCCCCCCCCCCCCCCGCTTTTGTTCTGTACGGGTACATATATATGCCTAACCCCCATGACGATTAACCCAAGGTCAGTCCAACTGACAGCTGGCGACTAGCGACGCGGTTGACGATTTCCTCATCCCCTCCCCTCCCCTGTCCCGTGTGTGAATTACCTCGTACGATGTCTATCTACAGGAATTACGACTTCCTGTCTCGACGATGAGCACTTCAACCGATACCCGTACCCTGTCATGTACAAGGAATGAGGAATGATAGATAACCCTGGTGTCCTCTGTGTGCTCTGTAAGGCTGCCGCTACCACTACCACTTCCGCTACCCGCTACCACTACGGCATATACACATATACATATAATCTGCACATACTATGAATACTGCCCATGGTTGCAGCCGTCATCACCGCCGTCATTACTGCCACAAATCTGCCAACCAACCGCCTGCCCATCTCCCGCCATGGACCGTCGGTGAATCACGGTCAGCCTCATCCAACCGGTGCTCTCCGACTGTCCCTGACGCAAACCACCTTCTGAACCCCGTGGTCTCTCATCCCAACTCTGCCCACTTCCTTCTCGCACGGCAACAATGACAGTGAATCCCTCTCATTCTTCTCTATTCAGACGTGTTTGCCGTGATTCTCTCTTCTCCCCCTCCCTTTCCTTTTGTCCATTGTCTGCCATGTTCCTCCTCCCACCCCCTCGGAATTATACATACATGCATACATATATATATATATGAGGTATAGCCCATCAATATATCAGCTCTCTACACCTACTAGTAGCATCGTATGGAATAGCGCTGATCCTGTCTCCTTTCCCACTCCGGGCAAGAGCGTGATTGATTCAAGGAAGGAGGCGAGAGAGAGAGAGACGCGAGAGAGCGATTGACGAGGAGAAGAGAAGATGGACGGAGAGACGGCCTCGCCAGCAAGGCCACCCCAGAAGAAGATGAAGAGGGACCTCCACCACGGCTGGGAACCGACCTGCGTCGCCATGGCCAAGTGCGACATGTGCTCCCGCGCCGGCCGGGGCGTCATATACAAGTGCGCCCAGTGCAAGCTGTCCACCTGCCGGGAGTGCTGCGAGACCGGCCAGCTAGACGGGGACTCGAGACACGTCCTCGACGCCGACAGCGTGAGCTGGGACCCTCCACCCCGGACCAGCAAGCGCACCGGCCTCGCCTCCATCCCCCCCTCCCCCTCCAAGGTCACCAGACGCGGGGCAAGGAAGGTGACCACGAGGGCTAGCAGGGGACAGCAAGCTTCTGCTGCTGCGGTTGCCGCTGCTGCTTCCACCTCCGCTCCCGCTTCCACTTCTACCTCTACAGCCCAGCACCTGTCCACTCCCCCCGAGGCCACAGATGACGACGATGACGATGACGGTCGTGACCGTGATGGAACATGGGAACCACCGCCATCATCCAACCCTCCCCGTCTCAGAATCAGATCAGGAGGCGCTGCAGCCGTTCACGCCGTGGTGGGAGGAGGGCAGACACCAGATAGGAACGACGACACCCTCGCCCGTCGTCCAAGTCATGACGTCTCCGTGCCTCCCCCTAACAGGACGCAGATATCCGACACCGGCCCGGACCACGGCACCAGGAACACCTTCCTGCCCGGACCATACCCGTACTCCCTAGACAGACGTCACCGTTACCCCCCCGGTCGCTTCTCACCTTATACGCGTCCTCCCACCTTCCGGAAAACGCTCCACGACAGCAACAACCACGACAGCGATGACGACCAGACGACCAGACCGGTGATCCGCCTCCCCTCTATCCGATCGCTGTTCAGCCAACCCTTCTATGACCGTCCCCACCAGCCATCTCCGCGTCGTGAGCTGACCCCTCCTCCGCATCCTCTACCTCGGCTTCCTCGACCGGGGACGTCTTCGACTCGGGAACTGCTACCACCGCAACCGCAACCGCAGCAGCAGCAGCCACTCCACCAAGATGTCCTCGCCTCCCATCTCGCGTCGTCCACGTATACGAGCTACATGGACAGCCCGGCCAGGTCAGTAGACATGTGTCTGCGGCACGAGCTGCTGGCCCTGTGGGCGCGTCACCTGGTCGCCGTGTCGGGTCCCGCCGCCGCCGACGAGGCCCTTTCCCTCTTCTCCGAGGCTACGACGGAGGCTGCCCTGCGCCTCGGCCTAGATCCCCTCAGGAACGGAGCCAGGGACTGGTTGGTCGAGATGGATGCTCTGGTCTCTCAGGTCGCGAAGGCTAGGGGCACGGGCATTTGATATTGACCTGCAAGGGATTTAGGTTTTTTTTTTTGTTGAGGTTCTTGAGATTTCCGATTCTTTCATTGTTCTATTTGTTTCTTTCTCCTTCTTTTCTTTTGTTTTCTTTTTTTCTTTTCCAGCGCGGAATAGGAGGAAATACCACAATGGATGCTTACTTGAGATACAGGACACAGAATGTGAGGATAAAGGCTAGTAATAGTTTTAAGAAAAGGGGGGAAGATAAGAGGAAGAATAAAAATAAAAAAAGGAGAAACTTTACACAAGCAAGAACGTGACAAGCATCTCCTTCGAATCACATTTTCTTTTCTTCACATCTAGACGAAGGGTTTTTATGAAGAAAAGAAAAGAAGCAAAAGAACAAAAAAAGAAAAAGAACAAAAAGGTCAATTTATTCTAGCAACCATTTCATCCATATAATCTCATTCCTTTTTTTTTTTTGCTTCAAACAAAATTTTCTTTATTCGTCATTACCCTCACCCTGACCCTGTTCCTCATCTTCTCCCTCCTCGTCCTCATCTTCATCCTCGAGAGCACCAGGCACCTCATAAAGACGGAGGACAGACTTGTTGGGGTCCTTGAGCAGGATGAACCTTCCGTCGCCGCGGCGGGCACACATGTCGACAATGGTGCGGACGATGCCCCATCCGTTAGAGATGGACAAGTTCATCTGGTTGGCAAAGTCACGGGGCTTCCAGCCGACGACGCCGAGGATGACGTGCTTGTCGTTGGAGCGGGGGTTGGCACGGGAGACGAATCTGAAATATGTCAGTCTTGTTCTTGATCTTGAGAAATGATGTTGTGATAACTAGAAAGAGAGAGAGAGAGAGAGAGAGAGAGTCAGAGAGGGGAAAGGAGACGGATAGACATACCCAAGCTTCATGACGTCCGACTTGGCAAGAATGCTCTGGATGGTCCAGCGGGCGAGCTTGCAGCTGTTGTTCTTCATCTCGGTGGCGACAACAGCACCGCGTTGGGCGACGAGCTTGGTGCGCCAGTCGAGGGCGCCGCCGCTGCCCTGGGCCTTCGAGTCGAACTCGTTGAGGGCCTTGAGGGAGACGCGCTGGACGTCGCCGGAGACGGCGTTGCGCTGGATGGCGTCGACCTCTGTGCGGACGATGAGGTAGACGGGCTCCTCGTCGTTGGTCGACAGGTCGAAGCGGCGGTAGCGGTAGGCCTTGGAGGCCGGGGGGTCGGTATCCTCGGACGAGTTGTAGAAGGGGTTGGCGTTGGCCATGTCGACACGCGAGGCCTGCGACTCGATGACGACCTGGTTGGCGAAGTTGTGGTTGATGTAGGTGGCCTCCTCGGCCAGGGCAGCCGGCTGGTTGATGATGTCCTTGTTGCCGTCGGCCGCGTCCAGGGGCCCGTCGACCGCGTTCTCGTTGACCGTCACCATGTCCAGCGTCGCGCCGTCCCGCTTGTCGAGGAATACCTTGCCGCCCTGCCGCACGATGACGATGTCCCACGGGAACACCGACCGCGTCGAGCACATGAGCATCGACAGGATGCTGTCCGTCGCGAAGATGGTGGCCTCGTTGCGCTCCGCTAGCTCCTGGATCACCGGGTCCGACGACGTCGTCACGTTGTACGCCGCGCGGTCCAGCGCCGTCAGCTTGCGCTCCATCCCCTTGACGGGCGGCTTGTCGTACGACCGGTCGTACGCGTACAGGAAACCGTAGTCCGACAGGTCCTCGCCCTCGTCGCCGTCCAGGTTCAGCTTGCCAAGGCGGTTGAAGTCAATCTCCTCCAGCAGTTCCCAGTCCGCACGGATGTTGATGCTCGGGTCGCGGTTGCGCGCCGGCTTGTCGTAGTCCTTCCACCCGAAGCGACGGCCGCGAGCGCCGCCGCCGCCGCCGCGGCCACGGCTGTCGTAGCTGCTGCCGCCCTGCCGCCCTGCCGCCCCTCCTCCCCTAGTTGACTGGCCCCGGGTCGAGCGGGCATCGCCGCGTCCGCCGCGCTGGCCCCTGCCACGCGTGAAGACTGCTCCACGGCCGTACCTCGTCTTGGTCGTGTCGCGGGTGTTGCTGACAATCGAGAAGGAGGACTCGTCCTCGGCCACGGGGGCACTGAAGGTGACGGCGTGGCTGGAACCGTAGACTTGCTGGTCTTTTTTTTAGGGGGGGGGGGGGAGGTTGCCATAAGTTAGCCCTACTATCCTTCTCTCATTCCTTCATATGCCCATCCTTCGTCGAGGAAGAGGACGACATTAGTTAGAAACTCACCCCTGTAGTTGCGCTGGTATTGCATGCGTGATCCACGCTCCCTATCCTTGCCCTCGGCTGTCCAGTCGGCCATGCGGCCCAGCTTGTCACCCTTGGAGAATGGGGCGTAGGGCACACCCTCGAGGGTCGTCTCCGTCGTCACGGGCGGTCCCCATCCATCACCGGCGGGGCAGCTCTCGCAGATACTGATGTAGTCGAGAGAGTCGGCCATTTTTGTGTTATGTTTCCTCGTCGGTCCTCAGAGGAGTTAGAAAAAAATCAACAAAAAAAAGAAAAGGAAAAAAAAATACTCCCAAACGTACGGTGCGGGGAGGGGCTCACACAAAGGCGCGATAGAATTTGTGGTTTCCCAGGTTCGAATTTGTGGTGGGGTGTGGGGCTGAAATTTGTCCTAAAGCCCCACGCCACATTCAACTCGTTTGTGCGTTTTGACTCAGCATGCACCAGCCTCACTCTCAAAAATCCGCAATAGTACTTATCGTGAGACTCTCTCAACACTCACGATATTACCTTGATCCCTTGTGCTGGTCTTACTTACTCTGTGTTTTTCTTTATGGTACAACGTTTTTCCATTTGTTATATATAATTTTACCATCATGGTCATGTTGGGTGGTGGAATGGAGAAGATAAAGAACACACAATAGAGGGTCCAACCGCCGCTGCTCCACTACCATCATCATCCACCTGATCATAGCACGACGGCTTTTCAACAAAGTATCACCTCGCTTCAACTTCCTCCTTCACGACATGGTTATGGCGCATCATCATGGACCCTGCACCCGTCAGAGACCTCATAGGTACTGTCGCGTTTGAAATTCACCGACGTTGCCCGGTACACTTCCCATCTTTCTTTCAGGTGGTCATCGCGCGACTGTGGCTGTGTCGGGGTTCTGCGGCCATGAGGTTACGGTGTGGCAGCCCCCAACTGGCTCGTCGGCCTCTCTGAACGACGACAGCAGACTAGCTGTCGCAGAGAGTTCTCGGATCAACCCCCTCTCAGTGGAGGTCTCTGCCCGAGTCGGGACCTCTTTCTCCCCTTCTGCTCGGTCGTTTCGCGCTCCCATCACGGACTGCTGCTTCCGCCACAAGCTTCCTCTCTTCCTTCTCTCCATCTGTGTCTTCCCCCTCGCTACAACGAGTCGG